ATAGGCAATTCAAACTGCGCAGAGTCAACAGCTCAAGTCGTCCGCTGATAACGCTGAGCTGCTCTCCGGGTTTGACTAAGGTGGAGTAGATAAAGAACTTCACCCTTGAGCAGTTCACGAACACACGTCACTGACTTTTTCAATTAAATGGATTTGAATGGGCAAAAGTTCCTAGGAGCAAGTTGTGGACCCAGGCTCGATGTGACGATATGAAGCACACTAGGGAGTCTTATATAAGAAATAGTCATGTTAGCATGCATGTTGCAAGTTGCATGCAAGTCGTATATGTCGGAGAAAATATGACAGTGGTTTCCTACCCGTCACTTCAGATCCTTCCACATTGGCTGCATAGGATGATTCAATCAATGTCAAGAGGTAAAAAGATAGAACAGAGCTGTAGAAGAACATAATTTAGCCCAGCACAAATACATGTCCTCTCCTTTCACCTCTTAACAATCCCATGACCACTCATGTTCATCTTGTGACCCCCCATGGTCCTGACATTGCACTGAAGGGGTACTGCAGTGTACAGACCTGCAGGAGACAGAAGTAGAGATAAAATCACACAGATAAGCTGATGGGCAGTTAATGGATAAGTGCCCAACAACAACAACAACAACAACAACAAGAAGATATTTGTGTTAGAGCGTTCTGCCAACATAATAAGTATATAAGTGTTGTTCAACCCATCAAAAAATGACATTTAAAGAATTTAACAATAAAGTTTCCTTAACAGAATCAATGCCCTGGTTGCTCTTGATAATCCACATACATCGCAATTATGACTAAGGCAGTGTTTCTGGAGAGAGAGCCGCGAGTAGTGTAAACAAAATTCCACTAAACACCATGCAGGGGTTATAATTTATTTTTTTGATTTGAGTGAAATGACCCATTAATGACAATCTGTTCAGAGCGAGTTTCTGTGAACTCGATGTTCTCAAGAACACAATAAAATGACTCTTATCAGGACTTTATGGACGAAAGGACACGCTCACTGCATGAATGTCTCTCTCTCTCTTTCTCTCTCTCTCTCACACACACACACACACACACACACACTTTGCTTTGGGGGTTAATAATTATTAAGCATACATCATGTGTGTGACTTGTGTTTGGTTTGACACACATTCCTTGGGGCTTCACAACTGAATCAACAACAAGCATATTGTTGAGATTTAGTTTATTTTCTTCATATAATTCAGAGTTAACTGGGTCACGATTATGCTCATAGTTACGAGGTTAAAGAGTCAGTTCGCCCAGTTCACTTTTATCAATTGGTATCTGGCCATGAAGTGGGAGGTGTGCAGGGAGGCAGAGAAACTGGGACAGGTGCACGTTGTTGTTCTGAAAACAGCAGGAAGTCAAAATCTATAGTTTGTCTGTTGGTTTGTCTCATTTACAGTCACAGTTATAATAGAGCTGCAGCACTGACTGTGACCAACACAGCCTCCATGAACTCTAGTGAGGTATTTTAACACAGACCCACAGTTAATGTCGGAAATCAAATTCTTTCATTGTTGTGATAACAAATCTGAACACACAGACACAATACACAAACATGTATATTCAAGTTGACTTTCACCATATCATTGCTTTGACGTCCATTATAAATAAATGTCTCTAATTCAATGAAAATAATCTGTAAATCTGTAAATGGTCCAAAGTCATCCAGTGATAGTTGTTGATACAATCATGGTCAATTTGTAATCAGGGACTGATAACAGTGATTTTAAATGATAAATTGATTTACTGTACAAAGCACTTTTATAGCAGAGCATCATGGTAGCTGATAAATCAAGTTTCCTGTTCATCCCAGAGGTGTTGGATAATGTTGAGGTCAGCACCAAAATGTATAAATATTATGGCCCTCACTTATGCTCGTGGTATTGTTAGGTTGAAACAGGTCTCTTCTCTGTACTGTTATATTTAATAAGAATATAACAGTGTCATTATAAACTGTAGGCCCATCACTGTGGACATGGGTCCACATACTTTTGGCACCAGCATGAACAGTACATGTAGTTATTTGTTGGTGTTTGTGTGTGCAAAGGGTTTATTTCTAGATGACGTTCAGATCAACAGTCGAGTTCATGTCTGTGCTCTGCTGCCTCTCGCCCGTCGGACATTTGAATAGCAAAGTAGCCCTCAAGTGACGCTGAATGGCTGAACTCCCACAGATGGTAAACAAGGCCGTGTATGTTTGTGTGTCCTGTACACAATCCTCAGCTTGTCTCGCACTGTTACAGTACGTTCATTGATATGGTGTGAGCAGACCCCACTGGCTTGTAGTAAGAGACACAAAACAGTCTTTGTAAAAAAAAAAGCATACTGTTGCCTCTTAATAACTTATTCGATTTTATGTAAGAATATTTTTCATTGTGATACCACAACATGAACATCACTGGAGGCTTTGCTTTGTAACCTGAGTAGTACTATGCTCCTTTCTTCACACTTAGCAAAGATACAAACACTTGGGGCAGCAGTACAGTGACTGACTCTTTGTTCCCCTGCACACACACAATATATCTACCCCAAATGTTTTTCATTTTTTATAATGCCATTTCATTTCAGATTGTCATCATCATCACAATTTTTTTTTACCACATGATGAATGAAAGTTAAATAAGCTGTAGATTGTGTCCCTCCACATCAAAATGCTTGTTTTATTTACAGTTTATATCAAGTTCAATATTTATCCTCAGATTCACTCAGCAACATAACGTAAAACTGACGATATGTGTTTTTATCTGCAGGCCTGCATTAATTTACTTCCTACTTATTTCATACATGCCACATCAGGAGTGTTATGTCATTTTGAATACATTTGAAATAGAGTACTGCAAAAGATGTCGTCATT